GGGGGCAGAATGGCCTCCTTATTGGCATCTGTGATGATTGTCATCAAATTTTCTTCATAACTTGAGTAGGTGCAGCCCCAGTAGGATGAATTAGTTTTATCGTTGCAGCGCACCGACCCTGACGTGTGAATAAGCTTCATCGTTTTCACTCTTCCACTCTTTGTCATGTTGAAGGAACCATATTTATTATCTTTGGCTTCAAAGCAGACGGGTTCTTCACCATTTATCTTTTGCCAGCTCTCTAAGATAAAGTTATAGGATAGGTAGATAGTTTTTAAAGTTAATTAAACTATATTTAAAAAAAAAATAGCTACTTTCAGCCAACACATTTTCGAATGGTACTAGGGTGACAGCCGTTTGCAAGATAAATTCCAGTGATAAAAAAGGTAAACCATTGTTCTTTTCGTTTGTAGTTCTATTTCAATTACTAAAAACAAACTCTTTCTTGTCTATAATTCCCCTTTTTTGCAGAAACACTGCGACGAGATATTATTTTGGTACGTTTAATTGAGGAGTCGGAGTAGGAGAACAAGTTAAGCAGGCAGTGGGGTGATGATGAGTCGACTAATTTAGTCAAACAATTTACCTTTACAATAAGCTTCGATGACCTCGCTATTCTCGTCAGAGTAAATCCAGTATTTCCCGTCAGCCATCTGGTTCCCTTCACTCGCTCTAATCTCACCACAGGTTTTCGCCGGAAGTTCTTTGATGGATCCGAGGGGAACTACGTCAGAAAAAACAAATTTTATGTAAGAAGTTTACGACATCAAACAGTTCGATACCTCCTGATGCGACAGGATAGGAAAAAAAACCTCCTACCTTTCCTGCTTGCGTAAAAGCAGAAAGAAATAAAAACTTGCTAATTCTATCAGATCTAGACTAAGAAATGAGATGGAAGACAGCGATAATAACGCAGCAAAACAAACAAAAATTTTGGTATCATCGTTAAACAATTTTCAAGGTTACAAAGGAAAAGAGTTGCTTGACTTCATAATTAAGTCAAATATTATCTTCCCACGATGACGTTGATGAGACGATGATTCCAAAACGTCGTTTCTTTAATTTTGACTTTTCTCTGTATTTTGAAATACTTTACCAATATTGAAACAATCCCCGAAATTGAATCATCAAAAGGCTCGTCATAGGAATATATCTAAATATATAAATTTTGTTTCTCTGATATTTGAGTTTTCTTTAATCGGGAATGAAAAATTAAAAAAAACAAGTTTGACGCAGATGCAAAAAGCTGATCGAGGGAACGTAAATTGTACCTCTGTTTCTAGAACGCTTCATGTAAAATCTCCTCTGATCCGGCATAAAATCTTCCGGTCTTGCTTCCTTTGTACGATTATTCAGTTCACAGATATTTTGACCAATGACGACATTGTAACTCTGACATGTGACTTCTTCCTCACACAGGTAAAAACATTCTTCAGGCAACTGATCGCGATACATTTTAAACACGTGACCTTTCAGGTACATTCCGCCAATGGAGCTTTCCGTTACACGACACTGGCTGTTAGCGTTGAGTACACCAATCCGGGACATCAGAAACATGGTTGCCAGCCAGAACTTTGGATTCATTCTGAGGTGAATGTAGGTGCCAATTGCTGCACACAGATTAAGTACCTATCAACACAGTTAACAATGCTAAGATTAAGTTGTATATGGATTTTCAGTCAAATTAATACCTCAATTTACACCTTAGAAGGATAAGTCAATCCAAAAAGGTTTTTTTGTTTTGATTTCCTTCGGCCTCCACCAGTTGAACGTATTAATATTAAACACATGAACGTGTTCTGTTCAATTAGGTTACGAAAAACTAATCATCGACAGCAGTAAGAAGTGACACTGCACTTTATATGTGTTATTGAAACAAGCGTAGAGTCAAGAAAGCTAGATATTGGCCGAGTTCTTCTTCTGCTTTTTTATGAACCCGAGATGCAGTCCAGGTCCCATAAAATCAGCCGGCAAAAGTTATTTTCATTAAAAAAATGATTACCGTTTCCGGTTATTGCAAATAATCTATTTGTTTTTTTTTTTTTTCGACGATTTTCCCTTTTGCAATGGTTGGCGTTTGCTTATTGTTGTAATTCAAAACAGCCAAAAGAGTTATGATGTCAGATATTGGTTTTCTTTACTTTTGTGCTGACAGCACCGTTCATTCCGAGGTTTTCAATTTTTGTAAAGTTCGATGATAGTTTATTTATTACTATTTTTTCTTAATTACTGGAGTCTCCGAATAAAAATCCGTAGAAAACAATGTTTTATATGCCATAACGAGGTTTTTTTTATGCAAAGTTTACCCAAAGACATGAAAAAATGAAACTTTTAAGGTGGTCTTATAAATGGAATAGAAATATCGAATTTCGATCTCAATTTCTCATCGAGTAGGTTGCGTTAAATGTCGACAGGTGCTGCTTCTAAATATAATTATATTATAATAAAGTTCGGATATAACGAGCGCTGTTATTGTATATAACGTATACATATACGTAGACGTATACGTATACTCAAGAAGTGGGGAGAAACACTCGACTACATCTCGTGTTTCTCCCTACACTTCTTTCGTGCTCTAGCCGCTTCCTGCGTGCTTCATAACAGAACAGAGCACAGTCAAGGCTTCTCTATTTGTTAAATGATTGTCAAGTTATGAATTCTTCATCACTCGAAGCGTAGGATGTTTTTTCTCTAATTTTCAGAAGTAACTTTAAATCTCTTTTAAGCAAAAGTGTTATGTATCAAAAACACTCAAATGAAAATATAACTTTTATCTTCCATCTTGAAATTAAATAAGTTCTGCCATTCCCTATTTCATATTCCCTATTTCATATTCCCTATTTCATATTCCCTATTTCATATTCCCTATTTCATATTCCCTATTTCATATTCCCTATTTCATATTCCCTATTTCATATTCCCTATTTCATATTCCCTATTTCATATTCCCTATTTCATATTCCCTATTTCATATTCCCTATTTCATATTCCCTATTTCATATTCCCTATTTCATATTCCCTATTTCATATTCTCTATTTCACAGTTCCTATTTCTCTTCTCTATTCTCCATTACCGCTTTTAGTAAAATCCATTTACTCGTGCTTATTAACACCAAATTGCACTTAAGAACCGGCTGAACGGTTTGCTCGAGCGGTTTTACGCTTTTACGATTATCGTTAAGTCGCCTTGAAGAATCAAAGTGCTCTGTGAGCAAACTCGTGAATTGAAACATGATTTTTTGGATTATGTTTAATTTTATATGGTTTAGGGAATTTTGTGGTTGATTGTCATATCTAGAGTACGAGCAGTAGTTCAGTGTTCGCAGCAAAGAAACAAAGTAACGTTGGGATAAGAAGGCATTACAATTGAAATGATCATGCTTTTACATTCGACAAAGGTGGATGGTGTCATGTGTTTTAAACGTAAATCACTTTTGTTTCTGGTTCAAAAGAAAAGGTTGGAAGTAAATGTGGGTGAAAAGTGAAATTTACTGTCTACCATTGTAAATATTATTAGAAAACCAAGGCAATACTGTCTTAATGAAAACATTAACGATTCCCTCTCAAATGAGACAAACAGGAACGAGTTTTGAGTGATATAACTAAGCCAAGACTGCCACCGTCATTTTGGATCTCCGCCTGGGTAGATTTTAGTCGCGTGCTAGGCAACGTATAATCAATAACAAGATAGAATTTCATTTCAGGCCTATTTATCAATTTTGTGGTGTATAACCTTCGCATTTTAGTACGTAATATTTATTTTGAATTTTCAAATTGTCTTGAAACTTAAAAGAAAATTGTTCTTTAAAAATTTACTGAAAATCAGTAGCTAAAATTGTTTGTTTAGGTGTTATTTGATTTTCGTGATAACTTGTAATTTCGTCAGTCGCTGGCATCTTTTGTTGCCTCACACAGGAAAAACACACCATACGAAACGTAATGATCGATTTTGTCCTCAATCTCACGCCATAACAGAAAAAAATTTTGAACATCTGTAAACTCCGAGCGCTTCGCAGTAAGTGATATTTTCAATGAATCTTCGGATTGTTTTCAAGTTCAAGGATTGTAAATTACAATTTTTATGAAAAACGAAGGTTGTTCTGTTATTTAGTGTGAATCATTGCATGCCTGCCTGTCGCTGGCGCCGCTTGTTGAAGCTAAAACGAAAAAAAAAAAACTCTTTTAAGATTATCATTGGCTTCTTTTTCACC